GCGGGGGCTGCGTCTTCGCGAAGAAGTGTTGAAGCTACGGTCGCTGTCGCGACCCAAATAGCGTGCGTGCGCTTCGGCCTCAAAATTCACATACTAACCCGAGACGTCCCAAAGAACCTCTGTTATTTCTAAACAGTATTTGCGTTTGAAGCGTCCATAAATTCATGACACTGAAATCCAAGCGCGCGTACTACACGGCGCAGTACGAGGCGCGTTTCCATGCCAGTGGCTACCGAAAACCCGCAGTACATGGCCCCCGTTTGAGCAGCGCCACCTACGAGCGCATACGTCCGCGCCGAACCAAGATTCGCCGCGCTCACCCGCCGCGTTGAGTCACCTCTCCTTCCTACACCGTGCTCACTAGGCAAGGAAATAGTGTCTGTGGTGATACCACGCCCGACCTTACTTTTATAAAGAACACGCAATCTGCGCTGATTGCTGAATACACAGTAAGACTCTGGAAGCAATCATTCTATCATTGAAATCCAGCTTATTGGAGGGCCCACCAAACACATGGGCAAACAATTTAGGCTAGTTAACTGGGTTAAATTCAGAAATATACAAGAGGGCATCACAGAAAGCATTACAAACATTGACCAATGGACAGCTAATCTAAAGAAGGAGATTTAAGAGGCAACGAAAATAGTCCCACCGGAAGCTAAGCTTGAAATTCTGGACAGTAGGCTATTACATGTGTGGGAAGCCAAACAAGGGCTGCAAAAACGCTGGAAAACGCAGAACCATAACAGAACACTAAGAAAGAAGATAGCCACACTTAACAAAGAAATCAAACAATATGCACAACAGCTTTGTTGCCAACAATGGGAAGAAACTTGTACAGCCATGGACAACCAACTGAGCCTAGGCAAAACTTGGAATTTACTTCGACACCTCCTAAACCCAGAAGACACAAAAACGGTATACAAACAAAGTATGAACAAAGTTCTGCATGCCTATAAAGGCACAGACAAAGATTTTCTCAAAGAAGTCACGCTTAAATACATATCCCAGGCACCACCAAGCACTCACGCCAATTACATAGGAGCGTTGAATCCTGACCTTGATGAAAATTCAACGAAGCGGAGATACGAGCAGTTTTACACAAACTAAATACTACGTCGACACCGGGCCCTGACCCCATTACGAACAAAACACTGCGAAACCTAGACTATACGTCCATTGGCAAATTAACAGACTTTATTAATGAACGCTGGAGACAAGGCCACATACCGCAGCAATGGAAAACGCCGTACGTCGTGCTTATACCCAAGCCTGGCAAACGCTTACAGCTTGAAAACCTAAGCCCTATTTCACTAACTTCCTGCCTAGGTAAGGTAAAGGAACGCGCCTTACTGACCGGATTGACTAACTGCCTAAAGGACAACAACATACTCCCATGTACAATGATAGGATTTCGGAAAAATCTCTGTACACAAGACGCCATGCTGCAATTAAAACACAAGATCACAGATGACCCTAGCAGATCAACTCGAGCCATTGTCGGTCTTGATCTAAAAAAGGCATTTGATAATGTCACCCACCAAGCCATACTGAATCATGTCAGTAACTTAGGTTTAGGTGAGCGGACGTATAATTACATCCAGAACTTCCTAAAGGATAGACGAGCCAAAATTGTTGTAGGAGGCCTCACATCCGAGGAAATATCTATGGGTAGTGCAGCTATTCCCAAAGTATCAGTGATATCACCTATGTTATTTAACTTAGTCCTAACTGGCCTCCCAAGTAAATTAGAAAAGATGGAAGGTTTGCACCATACAATATATGCAGATGATATTACTCTGTGGGTAAGCAATGGCAGCGATAAGTCCATTGAACAACGTTTACAAGAAGCGATCGACACCGTAGAGCAATACCTAGAAGGAACTGGTCTCACGTGCTCAGCTGAAAAATCTGAGCTGCTACTATATAGACCAGCATTAAAAGGCCGACCTCCCAAACACCACAACACACATACCTACACAGACATACAACTTAAAACACGAGATGGACACACCATATCCATTGTCGACAAGATAAGGGTATTGGGGTTAATAATAGAAGGCAAAGGCACCAACGGGGAAAGGGTACTCAATATCGAAGCGAAGGTTTCTCAAACGATGCACCTAATCAAAAGAATTACGAATAAGCATAGCGGCATGAAAGAGGCAAATGTCATAAGGCTCATCCACCCGTTTGTCATCAGCCCCATTTCGTTTCTGCATACCATAGATGGTTCGCAGCAGAAAAAATGAAATTAAACAGCCTCATAATAAGAATCTACAAACAAGCGCTGGGGCTCATGCAAAGCACAAGTACAGAGAGGCTGTTAGAGGTAGCTTTACATAATACACTTGAAGAACTGATAGAGGGGCAACGTACTGCACAGTACGAGCGCCTCTCTAAAACCAAGACTGGTAGATACATCCTGGAAAAATTAGGCATCACTTACCACACACAATTTGGCACCAAATGCGACATTCCTCGGGACGTGCGGGCTAAGCTCACGGTGCCTCCGTTACCTAAAAACATGCATCCCGTGCACAACGCAGGTAGAAGGCTGAGCAGAGCCAAGACGATGACAAAGAGCTACGGAAACAACACAGAAGCGGTCTTCGTAGATGCCGCTCGTTATAAACACAAAAGCTGCTTCGTCGCGGCTGTAGTTAACCACAAGAAACAATGCAGCACCAGTCTGACAATACACACGAGACACGTTGAAACGGTGGAAGAGATAGCAATAGCTTCGACCATATCACAAACTGATGCGTGTTATATAATCAGCGATTCACAAGCAGCTGTACGCAACTTTGCAAATGGCAGAATCTCCCCTGACGCACTGCGTATTCTTAAAACAGGCAAAACCAACCAAGACGACAGATGCGTTTGCATTCTCTAGTTCCCAGCTCACATACCCGACACCACGGCAGATATTAACCCCAACGAGGTGGCACACAACATAGCTCGAGCACTCACTTTCCAGGCTACGACAAATGTTGATCCATCGTCAGAATTTCCAAATGTGTGGGAGTTGGAGGGCCAAATGACAACGTTCAATGAAATTACGAAACATTTTAAATTACAAAGGTGTGTTTACCCCCCTCCTCATCATAAACTCAACAGGGCACAGTCTGTCCAATGGCAACAATTACAAACCAGATCCTATAGGAATCCAGCGCTACTACATGCTATGTATCCAGAGATCTAAGCAACCGCTCAATGCAAAGATTATCGGACACGAGCTTCCTTAAAACATATACTATGGGAATGCCAGGGATTAAAACAAAGTAATGAGAATATGGCCTCCACCGACAGCCTCCGCGCACGTTGGCTGGCTGTGCTGCTTAGTTCAGCCCTGGACGATCAGCTATAGGCAATCCAGCGGGCCGAGGAAGCCACTAGGAGGCAAGACCTTCTTGCCGACACCTAGGCGGGAGCCCAGCTCACTAACACGCCAGATACAAAATAAAGTTTATTTCTTCCTTCCTTCCTTCAAGGATTTGTGGTTCAGCTACAAAGGGATGTTTTGGAATGCAATCGAAGAGCTCGAAAAGTGAAACAGCGACGAGAATGCTGCCCCTAAAAGGTAGCACTCCTCACAGAAGGAGCACTGGCCGCCTTGTGGCCATGTGGGAAAAGAAGCGGTAAAATGCCAAGACAGACATATAAGGCACGTACCGTAGAACTATTTGTTACCAAAATAAAGAATGATGTCTTTAGCGAATACCTCCTGAGACCAGAATGCTGGAGACTGGTGACAATTGAACAATATATAATCATTCTGTGAAAATTACTTCTGACATCATATGAATGCCTCAATGCGAACAGCTCAAAGACAGTAAATGGTCAAGATTTGTTGGACTATCCCCAAATGGACAATGTGTTAACACTAACAAATAAATTACTCACGCATTCCTACTAGTATAGCAAGCAGTTTACATTTACATTTTATCTGCAATACATATTTGAAATCCTCACATCGCATGAACAAAGAGTCAAAAGGGTGTTGAAACTGGCATGACTATATTGTCAGCTACATGAAACCATTGTTTTTCTCAATTTTAACTCAAGGGCAAATTCAGTCTAAGTGAATTTGGCTCTTTTAACAACAGTAACAACGTTAAAAGAACTCAAGTGGGTTTGGCTCTTTCAACAACAGCAACAACGAAAAAAGAACTCATGTAGTTGCATATCAGAGAACTTATACCACCACCATTATGCAACAATCTTGTTAAAGGGACCCTGAAACACTTTTTAAAGTAACCATTCAATGAATTCAGTGGGAAAGCTTATTGCCTCACGAATTAAACACCGCAAAAATCTTGAGAATCTGTTCAGTGCGAGTGGAGTTACAAAGATTTGTCACAAGCTGCAATTGTATTCTCTCTTCTCTCGTCCAGACGAAAACACTGTGAGCTAAGCAGGGAGAGATGGCAGGTAAAAAAAACGTCACGTGTCTTGTGACCTTGAGCACCTTTTTTTTTCTTTTTCATTCTTTAAATGCACAACCTTTTCAGTGTGATCGCGCGTGCACGTGCGGACAAATTGCGGCCTCCCGTGGCTATCTCTGTAACGACCAAGCACGCCATCTCCAAATTAGCCAGGTGACAGATGGGCTTTCTACAAGTGATTTTTGAGTGTCTTCCGTCATTAGTCGAGAGAAGAGAAAGCAATTTTTAGCTGACTTTGATAATTTATTGCGAATTCTAGGCTGCGTGCTGTGCTATAATATTTGGCTCGCGTGTTGTTAAGAGCCTCTACTACCGATCGGCAGCGTTTTCTGACCATGCTCAAAAAGTGTTGCAGGGCCCCTTTAAAATGGGCTCCAACATTCTATGGCATGACCAGGGGTAAATACACGCTCAGGCTAACTTTTCTTCCGTACTTTGTTCACATGCGCAGCATATAAGCAACATTAGTTTACTATTACACGACAATAGACATTATGAAATTGGTCAAACATCCAGAATGCAACAACGCACTTGGTGAGGTTTGTTTCATACCGATTTGGCTGACATTGCTACTCTTGGGGAACAACTAGTGCTGTGTGAGCCCCTTGAACCAGAATCTTCCTGCTGGCTTTGTCGAGAATGTTCCATTTCAGCGAAGGCCACGGTGCGTCCAGCGCGAGTGATTCGTGCCTCCATCAAGATAGTGTCTCCCAGTTTGGCGGCACCAAGGAACCTGAAACGAAGGAGGGGGAAAAAAATTCAGTATTAGCCTAATGCCCGGTTCACGATTATTCATCAGATTGGTGCAATCAATAGACTGCAATATATATAGAAACGGTGCATTGTACTGTCATGAATGATATAAAAGGGAGCATGCGACGAATAATTCGACTGATATCCGCATGGCCCCGTCAAAAATTAAGAGGACAGAGTCGTGGCATTTCGCGAACTCTTGCCACTCCTATTACGCTTCTGTCTTAACTGTGCTCGCAGTATGTGACACTAACAAGAGGTTGATACTGTAACGCCTTTTGGAGAGGCTCGCATGCAGCGAAGATCAGCGCTGTTTTTGTTTTTAAAAGAATTATATATTGCTGTATCTAGATTTTTATGAGTTAGTACACGCACATACACAAATGAATAGAAAAGCGGCATTTAGCGCGGAGCTAGACAACACACTGCCCTCCTCCGATTTGCATACCCACCTCATACTTGCGAGTGATATGCAATCAGCTGCCACGTTTTATCAGCAATAGCAAAGCCAAGCGACCCAACACTTGAAGAGACAGCAGCGCTCTTCCCACTTTATTTTCCAGTGTAGCTGCAGCGAAGAGTCTCGCTTTGGGTTTAAGGCTATTGACGACATGCTTGGCGTTTTCCCTTTCATATTGCTCACGATAGCACATATCAGTAAAATTCTTGTTGGAAAATCATTAACATGTGCGTTCAGTAGCGTTGGCGATTACGCACTGTTACAATTTTCTTTGAGAATGAAAACGTAATGCTAAACAAGCGCCGTACCCAATCTATTTCGGCGATGCTTTGATGGGCCGTCCGTTGGGGCATTCAGTTAATTACTGAAATGCTGCCCTTCAACGCAGGTCAGACCTGAAACAGCTGATGGTCCTTTGCTGTGGTTTCCCATTCAAGCAGAAATGAAATGTACAGCAATACGCTGGCCAATGTTAGAGAGAGAGAAGGCACCATGTGAATGGTGCTTGACTACACTCAAAAGAGGGCTACAAAGCAGAATAGGCTGAAAAAAACAATACAGGTGCTCCATACTGAGCATTGTAGAGAACAAGGACAGCACTGCTTTCTTCGTCTTCATTATCTCACGCTGGTGTTTCCTTGTTGCAATTATGAACGAGCTCCACATGAACCATGTATTCCAGTGTTCACACTTTCTTTTTCGACAATGCGCGATGCAACCTGTAAAGGTGATCAGTCTGCGGCTCCTGCTGCTAAATGAATTGCCCCGACAGAACCTCAGTGCTGCTGATGCAGAATGCGGGAGTCCTCCTGCATTCTAATTTCACATTAGGAAGTTTCAAATCATGAGGGACTTCCGTTCTTTCTTGGCTTTTTGCCTGCACACTACGAAGGCTTGGCTTAACTTGATCACGTTTCTTTCGATTTTAATGGCTTAGCATGATCTATTGCTTGACAAAAAAAAGACCCATGAACCCCCAATGCTTGTTGCTGACATAATGCATTCAACTTCAAAGGTGTGCCGAGTGAAGGCAGACACACTGACCCAGTACACAGCGAACACAGGGCACACAACATCGAGTGATACGTTGCACTCGACATTTTGTGTCCCGTATTTTTTCATTCTGTACCGTGTCTGCATTCACTTAGTGCACCTCTTAAGACTAATAGATGCCAACTAACCCACCTTATGGCTCTCCTCGATACAATGAATTAGCCCAGTATTTTAAAAAGCTATCTGTGTTATTGAAAGGTTTGTTAAGCAATTCACTTTGCTGATCTGTACACAACGCTTCTGTCAAGAGGCGAGTTGACTGTTACTGTAGTGCATACAGCTGGGAAATTACGACCTTGCGTTCAAAACAGCTAGAAAACACTGCTTTTTCTTTTGTTGCTGTCTGGATTCTCGACTAAAAGAACATTTCTGCTCACAGTACAGTTAAACCTATTTATAAGGACCCCTGTATAACGAATTCCTCGATATAACGAAGTTTTTCTATTCCCTGCCGCTACTCTATAGAAGCACATGTATTTGCGATCTCTATGCAACAAAGTAATAGCGCGAGACAACCTTGATATAGCCAATTTTTGCCACGGACAATCTTGGAATCAAGCCCCGAATTGGTCAATTTGGCACGAGCATGCATCTTCCGCGGTTGCCCTGCTGCTGACATAGCTCAAAGCGGTGGCAGTGTACGCGTGGCTCCCGCGACTATTAGGCGAGAGCAAATGGGCCTGAGCCCCACGAGCCGGTGCTGCCGCCATTCTTGACGCAGTGGACACATGCATATATGTGCTCTTCTCTGACAAACCAAAAAAAATAATAAAGCAACTTTTGCATTGGCAGTCCATACTTTTAATCAGTGTCATATACGTGGGACCACGCTAAATATGGAGAGTGCATTATTGAATAGTTTACCGTGGTTTTCCCCTTAATCGCCCTACAGTTTTGACGTCGTGTGCGCATGCATGGTTTTGCTGCACACGCAGAGTGTGGCCCCTGGCAACTCTCGGCATTGCTTTTTTCTTCTTTAATGGGGACCGTTTTGTCACTTTCGAGGGGATGTCAGATTAGGCACTGATGAAAACTCTCTGAGACCACGGTGGCAACGACGGATCTTCGGAGGTCGACTCATCACGAGTTTCCGTTTGCGCTGCGATTTCGAGGGACCATAGCCTTCGCAAATTAGCCGATTAGCTATGGTGACAACACGATGGCATGTTGAATGCAACGCAATGAATGCGAGAGCAACAAATTGTAATGTTACCCCAAGTAAGGCTGGCAGCCAACTGTTTTAGATTAGATATCCCGAAACTCCAACGAAACGCTGGTGTGAGCAAAAATGGCCACTCCAGGGAGAAGTGCTCTTTTCACATAGGGCATTGAAAAAACACTGATGCTTGCCGAGATACACGCGCGCAAGTGATTGCGACCGCACGCTTAAAATAGAAATTCACTGTTGATACTCGACCCCCCCCCCCCCCCCTCCTGCTTTATTCATGTTCATTCAAAACAGGTGGTTCCTTTCTGTTTGAGCATTCGACGGGAGTTCCAAGATGCGAACGCGGGTGGATGTTATTGTATGTGCCCTCCAGGCGATAGAGATGGGCCGGCTCATTTGATCTCAACTTCAGCAGTGCCCGCACGCTTTCACTTGTAAAAGTTAAGATGGGCGAGGGCATGCTATCGATTCGGACTTGTTACAGAACATGGCGGGGACGGCAAGAACCCGGCAAGTGTCTATATAATTGCTATCGCAATAACGCAGTTTTTACCGCTAAATAAGAGTTTTGGGTGAGCTTCACCTTGAGTTCTCCATTTGTTAATTTGTGCATTTATTTTTTTTTAATTTTTTGTGCCGAACCTGCACATAACGAAATCCTCTTCATGACTAATTTTCTCGGCAATTTGTGAATTTCGTTATATCCAAGTTTAACTGTATAAATGATGCCAAGTAAGTCTGAAATATTCAATCAGCTACTTGTGCTGAATGTCAAGAAAGCAAATTGTCGGGATAATATTCCAACTGAATTTTTAAAGAAATTTGCAGAATACAATAGCAAATATCTTGGTATTACTTTCCGAAATTAACTTTCGATGTCAGACCTACCTGAAGATTGGAAGGTCACGAAAATCGTACCGATTCATGAGTCAGAAGACACAAATGTATCAGCCAACTACACGACTATTTCACTTACCAGCACATCATGTAAACCTTTGGAAAATATTATACTCAGGCATTTAACCACATATTCTGAAGAAAACATTCTGGTAAATGTTCAGCATGATATTTGAAGAGGCCTATTGACAGTCACTCGGCTGACAGAAGTCGTTCACGATCTTGCTTTACGTATTAACAACCAGAACTAAACAGATATATTTTTATAGATTTCAGTAAGGCGTTTGCGTGTGTCATACCTAAACTGGTGCCATCATTGGCGATGGACCCATCACTACATGGATACAGAGCTTCTTGTCGAATCGAATCACAATTTGTGATTATCGAAAACGCCTCACTTGCTCCTCTGCCTGTGATTTCGGGCATCCCACAGGGCTGCGTAATGGGCCAGCTGTGGTTCTTTATTGTCAGTTCAATTCATTTTCAGCTTTTTATTTGTTACAAAGCATTGATTACATAACACCTGTATACAGATGAGGGTCCCAGAGTATAAATAGTGATTGTTATCAATGACATAGCATGTAACATTGATTTTGCAAAATTAAACTTTTTGCACACAGCATAATACATACAGAAATACACAATAGGGAAGATTACCTTCTGCTCAGCAACTCACTAAGAAAATAACCGAATGGTGTGGTACATGAAAAATGACCCTAAAACAAACAAAATACTCTGCCTGACTGTAACACGGAAAAAGTGCCCGTCACTCTTTCAATACGAACTTAACGGTCGCCTGGTAACTAGAGTGCACAAGTACCTCAGCATAACAATAACATCAGACCTTAAGTGGGCATCGGACATTAACAATGTCAATTCTAAAGCATTGAAAAAATTCTTTTTTCTTAAAAGTTATCTGCGAGCGACTAGCACCAACAAATGCGAAACTTTTGTCTTATACGACATTTATTAGACCTGTTCTTCAATATGCTAATATCATACGGTTTCCGCACACTAAAACTCATACATGTAAGTTGGAATGCAATCAGAGAAAGGCAATTAGATTTATTCACAAGACATACTGGAGCAGTGACTAGCCTACTTTTTTACTAACACAGTCAGGGATTTCAACCTTAGCTATTAGAGCAAAAGGAGCTCATCTGATATTTCTTCACCAGATAATACACAAACAACTAAAACTATATGCTTCAAAGTACATTACCAATCACACATCGCCCGTCATACTCATTCATAAAAACTGAAGGAGTTGTTTTGCAATAACGATACCTGTCTGTTTTCTTTTTCCTATTCATAACTAATACCGTAATCCAGTCAATTTCTCTAAGTCATTGAAAGATGTTATAAGCAATTAGTAAACAGCCTTTGAGTAATGGTGTTTTTCAGTTTCCATTATCTGAAGCAACTTCTTTGTACTGATGTTCGTTAAACTTTCACTTTTCTGAACCAAGCTGAATTCTTCATTTCTGTGTTTTTTAGTTACATATTTTAGTTTCTAGCCCAATTCTGTTGCATATTTTATTCATATACATATCAGTGTTCTATATTTCAGTTTCGGTGCACTTAAGTTTCTTGCATTTTGTTTGTTGTATGTTTGCAAATAAAAAGTGCTGTATTTGTTTTATTCTCTATGTAATAAAACTTGGATTTCTGTAAATGATATGTCCAGCTGCTATGGTCTCGACATGAGACTGGTAGTATTGTGCGTAAATAAATAAATTTAGATCATATAAACGAAAAGTATGCATGTGTGAGGTGTTAAAGAGATATATCAAGTGATTAATCGTTTCCATCTCAGTAACGGTCTACAATTATCAGCTTGAAAAGAAGAGCAGAACTTTATTTGTGCAAAAGACTGCGTTGCTGCTAAAGGAGGAAGTATTTTTTTTTTTTTTTCATTCATGCGACGTAAAATAGAGTGCTCTAAACACATTTGGGTGGCTCTTTGAGAGCACACTGCTCTACAATAAAGCATTCTCAGTTTTTTTACCTGGAAGCACGACTGAGAACTGGTGAAGTTTCATTCATGTGGCTCCTACCATGTTGTTGTTAATGTCATCTTTGGCTTCATACAAAGCAGTTCTCCCAATCATAAATTTTCGAAATTTAACATGTGCTGACTTGTTTCCTTTTCCTGGTGTCTGGTTGCCCTGGCAAGCATGGGCACATTAATCTCGGACACACTTTCTCAGGCTCAGATCAAAGCCAGTTCCGCATTGTAGCAATCTATCGGGCACAGTAGCAACCTATCGCAAGTATCATAAGGCACATATCGAATGTCCTACAGCATGACGCAGTGTGCAAGTCAGTCTTACCTACAGTGACATGAATGTCCAAGGGACTCACCTTGCCTTCAGTTCGGTGGTGGAGAACAGCACGTTCCTTCTCGTAGGCCGTCCTTAGTAGCGCGCAGGTGTACAGGTCAATCAGGACAGTGGCCATGCCACCGTGAAGCGTGTTGCTCAGGTTGCAGTGTGGCTTTTCAAGCTGCAACTCAAACTGGGCCACATGATCCTTACAGGAAATCATCTTCACCTGCAGCACGAAGGATGAGAAGTGGCCGGTCAGTTCAGCATAAGATTGAAGAGGGGTTCATAGATTGAGCGTACTATGAAGAATTATACAGGTATAAAATAAATTTATATTGTAATTCAGCGGAAGCATCAGATCGCCTTATAGTAAGGGACAGCTTTAGAAAGCAGCAGGATATCTACCTCAAAGGCAATCGCACAAAACCCTGCACGTCGCGTTCTTTAGATTGATTTTGCAAGCTGCACGATTGGCAACCACCATCACTAGACAACTATGCTATATAGGTAACCAGAACTATTTGATTAGTAGTAGAGAAATCTGATTGCTGCATTTCAATCCTCATGGGCCAAGCTTTCTCTGCCTTTTGAGACTGTATCTGGCTGTGAACTGATAAAGCATTCAATAAAGCCTTTTTTTTTTCATTTTCACACTAAGAAGTTGATTACAAAGAAAAAAAAAAAGGGAAAGACAAGGCTCGTTTCTTTTGAGCTTGTCACCCAACTGCCAGAGCTGGCACTTCACAGTACGATGTAGTATACTTCAATGTACTTGTTTGTACGCATTTGTGGTGCAGAGCAAGTTTACAGAACTAGCTTAATTTTATGTTTTGCTTCTTCAACACACAATTAGGTGTAACTTGTTTGACAGGAGGTTAAGTAAAGTTGAGAAGGTGCTGCCAGGGTTAGCGACACCATGAAAATCTGATACAACTACCTCAAGGTAACTACTGCATCTTTTTCACTTGCCATATGTTCACTCGGAATTAAAGCAGATATTCTTCTAATGTGGAAGGCTGACTTTCTAGACTCAAGCTTTTTTTTTGCCTCAATTTGACAGAGGATTATCTGTTTATACATAATCCTGAATTTTACTATAAACACTTGCCTAATTTGCTAGCTTATGTTCATCCATACGAAAGGTCAATGCTGTTATACTAAACAGAGTCATTATTATATGTTCCACACTGAAGCGAGCAATATTTTTACGAGATTGAGGGCATAGTAATAAGAACTTTTGGAATAATGCACGAAAACGCTATCTGTTGCAGTCGCTACCACTGCGTATGCATCATAGCGCTATCATTACCGTTTGCGGTCGGCAAAGTGCCTTTGCGGCATTTCAAACGTGGGTCAGCATTTGCAGGGGGGACAGACGCTATTCTAAAACTCGTATGGCACCCATACGCAAACGTTATGCTTGCTGCCTTAGTGCACGCTAATTAAAATATAGGGAGTTTTCGAACAGTGTTTGTCCCCCCGCATACACTGACGCACACTCAAAACACCGCAAAAGGACTTTGCGGGCCACACACTTTTTCGGATTTCCTGCTGGCAGACCGCAAGCACAAACAGCAGCTCACCTTACTACTCATGCGCACTGGCAGAAACCGAATCGCAAATGCTTGCGGTACCATTGGCAATTAGATTGCACTATTATATTTACACTATTCGCAACTTCCAGGTACCGTGGCGCCGCTGAGCCGTGGTGGCCGGAACCTCTGTTGAGATGATTGAAGGTTTATACCTGCTTCAAACAGCATATCTTGCTACTTATTTTCCCGTGTTTGTGGTCCTTTTGCAACGTTGTGAACGGCCTCAATATTACCATAATCCTTTGAATTTCTCAAGGTAAAGAGAAAGTATAAATAAAAGAAAAAGCAGGCTGATTTCACTGCGAGCCTCAATGCTCCAAGCCTATATACAATGTGAGAAAAAGTAAGCGTCCCGTTCAACATAGAACCTCAAAAAGCTATGAGTGGTTAAGAGAGCTAGGTTAGACAGGCAAATAACCAACATCTATTTTGTGTATGAGTATAGCAACTACTAGGTTTGCAGTCTTCGCGCTTTGTCATCTGCTTCACACGGTCGCTAGACAAACAGTACCAGAAATAAATTAGGAATGTGTTCTGCCTCTAGAATGAAATGAAAGGACCGGTTTCAAAATGTTCATCGCATCATTACACATTTGAAGCATTTGCGAAATGCCTTTATGACATTCATATCTGCAGCAATTCTTGTTCGGTCTTATGCTTGTTGATGGCACTTTTTTGTCGTTTCCGCTCCGCACCGACTTCTCAAACACCGGAACATAGAATAGTAACGGGAACATCACCTAAATGTGAAAATTTTGTACTACCAATGGTTTCGTTCGCTGCTTGCCAAATTCATTCTTTTGATATTCTGTTGTAGTTATTTTAATCAAGAAAGCACTTCTAGATCATATTGCCGATAATATGACAGGCTTGAGTTTGTGCTTGTGCGTCGGTATCAAAAAACATTGCTTTTCATCTGCTTATTCCACGTCATGCTTTTAGGCGAGCTGAAGAAGCTTTGCGCAGAACACGATGCAAGAACTGTAAGTTAAGCGCATCTCCGAACTTGTTTCTGACATTACTGAAAAATTTGTACTGAGGCTGCCACTCCTATTATAATACTTTTCTAACATGACACCAAGCCCTGCACGCAATTATGCATAGCCAGCAATGTGTAGAGTGTACAGGTGTGCCTTATTTACAATTTTGCACATATTTATCTACCCAATGTGCTATCCAGCATTTATTTACCTAATATAGTATCTTAGCGCTCCCCTACTTTCTCACAAACATAAATTGAAAGGCCACTCACACACGAATAATTGCACTCTTTGCCAAAAGAGTACTTTGCGGCATAAAGTTTTCTGAAATTAACGAGGGGACTCTGGCACTGTAATCCTTCAGCTACTATGGGTATGATGGGTAGTACAGGGATTTGCCTAGTCTTAGTACTTGCAGGCAGCGAGTCGCAAGTCGCACTTATGGTTTCGTTTATTGCTATGTTTTGTTTTGAAGAAAAGGAATAACCCTTTTGAACTTCGTGACCCGATTTGGAATGGTGAGCCATAAGAATAAGGTGGTGAAACATAACCGTTGAACATTTGCTGATTTTTGTTTTTGTGAGAAAACAACTCCAAGCCACACGAGCACACGCGAAGCCAGAAGTACGAAGATTAGTCAAATACGTGTAATATTCATCATTCCCATGCTCGCTGAAGTGCCGTGCATTGCAGCTCCCATAGACACTAGTGCCAGAGTTCCCTCTAGTGTACATTTAGAAAGCTCTATGCTTTCCGGTACCGTCGCTTTTGGAGTGATCATCTCGATGACGCCCATGTTGAACATACAGTCACACCACCTAAGGCCGTGAAAGTTAATTGTGAATTCTTAAACTCGGCAGCTGGCATTACGACGCATGCGCAGAGGCAGACCAGCAAAGGCTTGCGGTACACTATTCTAAAACTCTAAAGGAAGTTTTAGAATAGCGCATCACAAGCCGTTGCGGTGCGGTTGCTGCCACTGCGCATGCGTCGCAGCGCGAGTCGCCGTTCATTCGCACTTGCGGTCTGCCCGCAGGAAGTGCGAAATAGCGTGCGGCCCGCAAAGCGCTGGTGTAGAGGCTATAGTGTAGCTGCCATTGTGTATTTGTGTTTGCAAGGAAAGCAAACGCAATTCTAAAGCTACCTGGAGGGGCCAAATTATCCGGCCCCGCCATATCTCGAAAAGCCACTAGGGGAAAGTGCCACTTAAGACATTGCGCAAGATGACCCCATGCGCCTCTTTAAAAAACATGCGTAATTTTTTAAAAAATAAAGGGAGCCTAAAGCTTCACCTTTGGGAGTTGAACGTGATAGCGACATCCTGTTCTTAGTGAATGAAACCTTTTCGAATTTGCTATGCACCCACTATGTGACCTTAAAGGGCCACTCACCAGGCTCCCAATATACAAAAAAAGAGCAAAATGTTCTTTCCTGATATTTCTCGTCCTTTTTTTGCGCACTACTGTGACGCAGACAGTAGTTCTCCTGACGTCTACAGTGTACATGCTCTCGATTCCTTGATATACATGAAATATCCCATGTGATTTGTCTCCTGCACAGCTTTGCCTTGCAGCCGCCGCCCATGGTTCTTTGTTTCGCATGAGCGTGGTGCACAATCAACCAATCAAGCTTCATTTTTTTGCGTTTACAACTGCGCAAGCTGCGATAACTGCGTGCAGCTGAGAAGTGCGATATCCTGATATGCTCTAGCGCTTAGTGCTGATATTGTTCACCTGCATTCAAGAACAAAGGGGCAAGGAGGATGCATCGTGAGTGAAGGAGAGGAGAAAATCACACCCCTTGTCTTTAAAAGCGGGTGGTGAGTGACCCTTCAAGGGAATAGGCGCAGTAGCGTGTATGCCTTTTGTACTGTGGATCCGGCTGTCAACCACTGAACCATTATGATAATTACATATTCTGATGCCCGTTGACAATGAATACTTGTACCACGCATTTTTATTGCCATATTTTACGTTGCGTTGTGAAGCATGAAAGCTACTTTCACTGCATTTCCAAGCAGAGAAAATTCTCTTCACTATATTCGCGAGCAGAGGCGTGGTCGTGTGGTCAATAAAGAAAGAAAAAAAGAAGAGGCGTAGTCGTGTGGGAGAACATCCGCTTGCCACGCAAAAGAGTTGGGTTCGATCCCCACTGAGACTCCAACAACCCTCCTTCCGTGCCTTCTTTGCTCCAGGGTTCTTTCATTACTTACTCATTTCATTTGCATCATTCTCGATTTTTTTTTTTCGCTCACAACCAACGACGCGAACACCGTGATTTCTGCGAAACAAGCTCGTTTACGTTGTCGCTTGAAAATATTTATCTACGCCATCTAATGTACTAACGCGTCCACACCAACCAACGGTGCAAACGTACACGCGTTTCAGTTCTGGTCACCAAACTCTTCAGGGCGAGTAATGTGCTTACATGGTCCCTCTGTTACTAAATTCCACCGATCTGTCGGAAAATTCACTTAGTTCGACAGTTTAGACCATTTGGCGCGGCAAGATAGCAGCGGATGGAATCCGATGGATACAAGCGGATTTATGCGTCCTCTGTGCGCCGGATAGGAACGAGCGGTGATGAGTACAGGGTATGCTTCATATGTTGCGATCGTTGAGTTCCGCAATAACTGCTAAGTAAAAACCTGAAAAGCACACCACCCACCTTGTGTACGAACGACTGACAAAAGGGCAAATCTTTGAAGAAAGCGATCGAGTAGGCAGCGCGCTGCATGCTTCGGCGAAACGTTCACAAGCCACCGATCGAAGGTACTAAAAAATGGGTGCGCCTGTTGATCTTCGTCACGACTGTCACGTTAACCACCGGACACCTATGCACTAACTTGCGGGATCCGGAGTACAGTGGTACAATCCAGTGGTACAACTATTTGACTTCCGGCGGGAATTGTGGAGTGGCCAAACTGTACTTCTGTTGCTATTGGCCGTTGAAATATTTTACGACCTTTTTTTAAAATTTTTTATGCGCTTTTTGTGAGCGACGTTGAAAAAAAAATGTATTTAATTATCAAAAACCGGTTTTTAAAATTTGTTTTTGTTACCTTCGCAGAGTCACTGCTGTAGTATATTTAGGTAGGAATAATTTAAACGTATTCTAAAAGCCATATTTTTGCTTGTCGCTTCTGCAGAAAGCAGCTCAAGTACTAAAACAAATCAACCCAATAATTAAAAAAAATTCTTCACAAAACATACGAATAAACTGACCTTACTTTTGTACTGAATAACTACTTCATTAGTAGCGTTGGAACAGTGATAACTAGTCTCAAATCCGATGAATTATGGCTTTACTTACTCAAGTTAACACTTTGCGTTTGTCAAAGAAGCGTAAAATTTTTTCTTTCTCTGCGTGCCTTTTTTTTTCTCTCCTACATTAGAGTCGTTTAGATCAGAGCAACATCTTTCTACATGTTTGGCATTTGAAGTTGGAAAAAGCATAGCCTTCGAGATCAGCAAAATACAATATATGCATACGTGATATGAGTGTTCCCTGCATAATTGGTGGTGACCTACGCCATACCGAGCAGATACCAAGTTCATCGGTTATTTTGGCCTAATATCTTGCCTATTTAAATTCTAATAATTTTCTAGATCTAAATAAAGTTTATACTCACTCACCGATTTCCACTGCGCCCAAGTAAACTTTTGTTTTGAAAGTGCCGCCACTACTTTTCGGTACGATCATTGGTCTCCCGCCCTCTGCCCTTGGAAACACGTACATTTCACGCTTTGCTTGTGTTGTTTTCCTATCTCGTTTGCGCCATTTTTCTCCTAAGCTGGGGGTTGGGCAACGTTAAAAACGTTGGGGTTGGGCGATTGCACATCGCATAAAGTGTTTCCAGCGCTGCGTTCGAAGCGGAATGCCGAGCTGCTGCGCGTACAACTGCGGCAAGAAACTGCACGAGTGTTACGCGGTGTTCTTGATACCACAGGGAAAGCGTGACGTCTTGCGCAGGGAGCAGTGGCTGCTCAACATTGGCCGAAAAAACTTCGTCCCCACAAAGAACAGCGTTGTTTGCGAGGTCAGTCGCGTGCCTTGTTGCTATCGTTTCAAGGCGTCCCCTAATGCCCGTGCCGCCTGCTCAATGGCGCTTTTCTTGCGACAGTTTGTGCGGCGCGGGTGAGACTAAGGGAACAGCGGGAAAGGTTCTGTTTGGCGTTGCATAAATAAGTTGCCAGACTTTAGGAGAGTTGTTGCCAGATTGTCACCAAATTTAGTTTATAAATTTGCTCCTGTAGTTGTGGCTTCTCCGTGAGGGTTTGGTGTCGTCCGCGGTGCATTTTGCGAGTGCGTGAGCTACGTTGGCCGTTTTAATTAACAAAATGAACGTAAAACGAGTGTACCAGAAGTCGGGGCGCGTTATCTTGCTGTGTGCGCTGCTGTGCAATTAAGAGATCGTGTCTCAGAGTTAGGGAATCAACGACGCGTTGTCCGCCGTGCATTTCGCGAGTGTGTGTGTGACGTAATTAATGCAATGAACCGCGCGGTACAAACCCCGCATAAGCATTCATCATTTGAAATTTTGGTCGTGTGCGTTTATTGCGGGTGGGGCCCTGCAAGCGACGGTGGCTGGTAGGCGGGGCGAACAGCGAACCCCGACTCATGGAATACTTTAAGGTGGGAGGAGCCGACTGGACAATTCAAGATATGGGACAATTCACAAGTGCGGGACACGAATCCGCAAGAGTTCTGGAAATACTGAAGGCAGCGTGCGTGTACAACTGTATGCAACGACAGTTGGCCTGTGTTGACCAATACCTCTAGAACCAGCATTCGGACTCTCTAAAGCATCCAGGCTATGGCTCTGCGAGTTTGTCTGGGGCTACCGCGATGTTCATCAACAGCTTAGACAATCGAGATCGCTAATGACTACCCGCTCAAGACGCATATCATGATGGAAGTGCTCAGAGCACACGTGAGGCATCTTACTCGTGCCCCTGCCCATCATCTAGCTTCACTGCCAGAAGCCCGACCTTGTGCCTCATTTTGCCAGACAGTCTTGTCATATCGCACACGCATTCCTACGGGATATTCAACTCCATCCAGAATTTCAACTCCCCCATGGAGTATGACTTATGCACATGTTGAACTAACGGTTGCAGGCATAGGGTCAAAAGCCCGGCTCTCGTCTCCAGCACTAAAACAGCTTGCCCTTCTCTTGTTATATGAGAAGTACAGTGAGCATACTCATCTATGTACTGACGCTTCAGCTAAAGTGGATGGGTCTGCAGGGTCGCTGATCTTTCCTGCAGCAGTGACAACGGTGAAGTTTCGGTTATCGCACCAGACATAATCGACAGTGCGGAACTTGCTGCTCTACGTAGCGCAGTTAAAGTCGTTAAACACCAAGAAGACAAGAATTGGATCGTGTTCACAGACTCTAAGGCAGCACTACAGTGTTTGATATTCGCCCTACGCCGGAGACCTCATCAACAACTAGTGCTGGAAATTAGAGAGCTGCTTCACCGCCTCTTCGACGAAGGACACAGACTCACGTTTCAGTGGCTTCCAAGTCACTGCGGCATATTGGGCAACGAACATGTCGATGCAGCAGCTCGATCAGCACACGAAGATGGTAAAGAATCTATACCATTTTCAAGGACTGATGCTGCAAGGACCATCCGAAAAATCGCTAATGCAGAATTAAAATCCCTGTGGAACGCCAAGTGCTTACGGCACACGCGACGGCATAGACTGGACACGTCTCGTCGACTCCAGCCTCGGTCTGGACTCTCTCGACTCGAGACAACGGTGCTTTGCCGACTATGGCTTGGTGTCGCCTTCACCAAAGCTTTCGCCTTCCGAATCGGCATGGAAGACAGTGCTGCTTGCGGTCATTGCGGCAGCGACGAAACTATATAGCATGTTCTCTGTCACTGCCCTCGTTACAGCGTGCAAAGGCGGCAACTAGCTGCTGCGTTAGCTCGCCTTGATGACAGACCTTTGTCTGAAGAATCAGTGCTTGAAAGACGGCATGATCGGTGTGCTTACAGAAAATCAGAGAAAGCCTTATTGAACTTTTTGCGTGGCAGTGGCGTATTGTGTAGACTATAGCACCCCAGATACCCCCCCCTCCCTATTTTTGCACGTGTCTATTTCCCTCTTCGCTTTCTTTCCCATCTTTTTTCCCCCCTTCCTGCAGTGCAGGGTAGCAAACCGGATGCTCCATTTTCTGTTAACCTCCCTGCCTTTCCCTCATTTTATTCCCTCTCTCTCAACGACGATAGCGGAAGTTCGGCGAGCGATCCAAACACTGATGGCCTATGCACACGACAGAGTCAATCAGCAAAAACCAGAAAGCGTGTCACAAGAATACAAGAAGAATCCATCTACGACTGGCTCCGGGAAAACCCAGTATTGTCGCTAACTAGCATCGTGAGAACACCAAAGTGCCTCTCTGATCCTGAAATGCGATTTATCAGACACGATGACAAACATTTGCGGAGGGCCATTCAAGTTTTCGATGACGAATTGTTCAACTATACAACACTGGACTTTGTGCAGATGTATAAAAACACACAGCCACTCATTGATGCATCCCATAGTGACTTAAATTCATTTTATATGAATGTCAAAGACTCATGTAAAGCTGTTCTTGAACTATTAAACTTTTTATTTAATGACAACAACGATGAAATTGCTGAATTTGTAAAGAACTTATACGTGCTTGTTAAAAAGATGGCCCCCAGGGAAAACTGCATTGAAGTGATGTCTCCTTTAAGTGCTGGAAAGAATTTTTTCTTTGGTGCTCTGTTTCGATATTAGCAGAGAAATTATCCGCACCTTTAACCGCTTCTCTAACTTCCCGCTCCAAGACACAGTCGGTCGACGTATACTGTTGTGGAATGAGCCCAACTATGAATCTGCTGCCTTAGACCCGGTGAAAAAGATCTTCGGTGGTGATGTAGACTCTGTTACAGTGAAATACTCTTCTGACCAAAGCATCACAAGAACACCCGTCATCATGCTGTCCAACAACGAGGTCTTCCCTAACGATGAAGTATTCAATCACTGAATGTGAAGATATAAGTGGAAGTCATGCCCTGTGCTGAAACGCCACGACAAAAAAGTGCACCTCATGTGTCTTATACATTATTATGACAACTTCGTATTGATACAGACTACCGTCTTACTAGACAATTAACTTAACCTGAGTACTTGGTCAATGCTTCGCATTTTTCGATGATGCCAAAAACAATACACAAGGTTAGGTTAGGTCTCTCATTAATTAGAGGTGTTAACACAATCGGGATTTTGTTATTCAACAACTGCAGCTGGTGTCGTCGCTACCACTACCATGTGTTCTCATGAAAGCAGGACCGTCTTTCCAGGGCACTGCTACCTGGGACTAAGCAACCGCCTTAATAGCAAAGAGCCAGTGGACAAGGACGACCGCCACGACAAAGCCTACTCTCGTGCAATAACTTAAAAGCAACACAAATGTGTTTGCTGCAGACCGGCATTCTACCAAGGAGTTCTTTTGTAACTTCACCAACAGGCAACTGGCATTCTGCATTGGGAGCTGCCGATTTGGGTTCAAAGAATCTCGTTGAAGAACGCATACTAGGGACTCTTTTTGGAATACCAACCAGACGGAAACGTGGTAATCAAGGGGAATCAGATTCAACAACAGCAAAGCAACAACCTGACGATACAACAAAAGGTGCCAAAGACGAAGAAATGTCTTCGGCGGAACAGGTGGATGCCCCCTCAGCAGAAGGAGCAGCTGCTGGAGGTAACCATCCTAATACATTCGAATGCGTTCAACAGATTCTACGAGTACCTCGCGACCACGGAGTGGTCACAGTGTCACAAGACAGCAAAATTCTTGCCACATGGGGCTACGCA